CGGCATAAATTTAGCCCTGTTTAACAGCTTATTGCAAAAAAGCTAAAAGTGAAAGTAAGAGCAGCTTCACCAGCAGACACAGAGTTAAACAAGGGAGTCCTAGAAACAGCAAGAGAAGCCAGTTTTGCAGGAGCCACCAGAGATAACAGAAATTCTTTCTCCATGTGTCCCAGCTTACCCTCCTTTACCAAGGTCAACAACCCCCCAAGAAATGAGATTCAGGAGCTAATACGCCCCAGGTTTCACCTTGAAGGGGAGGATCGGAGTCTCGAGAGGCCAAGTAAGGAAGTCAAGATAGTCAAGTGGACAAGTGGACCCTCTCAGATCTGGTCTTGCTCGAGCTATGCAAATGCCTCTCAGGGAGATGTGAGGACCTGTCTATTATAATGACCAAGCCCACATCCGGGGGTGGGGTGACAGACTTTCATCTCTCAGCCCTTTTCAACCATTGATCTACTAAATTGGAAACACCCTGAACCCACCACCTTGCTCCCGGCAGCTAGAGCCCTGTCGAGCATGACTGTGCAGAGGTGCTGGACTCAAGTTTACTCTAGCAGACCTGACCTCCAGGACCAGCCTTGGGCATCGGTAGACTGGGAGCTATATGTGGACAGGAGCAGCTTCATCAACCCACAAGGACAGAGACGTGCAGGATATGTGGTGATAACCCTGGACACTGTTGTTAAGCTGAGTTCATTGCTTTAATTCGGGCCTTAGAACTCAGTGAAGGTAAGACTAAATATTTACACTGACTCTCAGCATGCCTGTTTAACCCTCCAAGTGCATGGAGAATTATATATCTATAAAAAGGGCCTGTTAAACTCTAGGAAAAGGGGGAAAAAAGACCCAGAGAATGCAACTCAGCCTCAGTGTTTGCAGCGGGACCAAGAGGCACTTCTGCAGAGGCTAAAAGTTGGTAGAAAAAAAGCAATTAATATAAAAAAGATTTCAGAAGTGCTTCAAGGAGCTGACAAGAACCTAAGTCAGTTTTATAAGAGACTCTGTAAAGCATTCTGGCTTTACAACCCATTTAACCCTGAGGCTGGTGGCTCACGCTTATAATCCCAGCATTTTGGGAGGCCGAGGCAGGCAGATCACAAGGTCAGGAGATTGAGACCATCCTGGCTAACACAGTGAAACACCGTCTCCACTAACAAAACACGCACAAATTAGCCGGGCGTGGTGGCAGGTGCCTGTAGTTCTAGCTACCCGGGAGGCTGAGGCAGGAGAATGGCATGAACCTGGGAGGTGGAGCTTGCAGTGAGCTGAGATTGTGCCACTGCACTCCAGCCTGGGCAACAGAGCAAGACTCTGTCTCAAAATAAAATAAAATAAACAAAATTAAAATTAAAAAAAAAATCAGCATATAGTGAATACTTCATTTGCAAAGAAAGCCCAGGGTAACATCAAGCAGAAGCTGCAGGCATGAATATCACCCAGTCTATAAAACTGGCCACCAAGGTGTATATTAACTGTGACCAAGGAACAAAACAGGAAAGAGCAAAAGCAACAAGCGTGGCAGGTAGGCACGCCAAAGGTTAAATCCCTCTCCCCAGCCCAGCGCAATCTAGAAAAAAAGAGGAAGCTAGAGACCAGCGCCAAGAGAAGAGCAAAACAGAAAGAAAGACTAAATGTAAGTGTAAAAAAGAGAATCAGAAGAAAACAGGAGAGACAGACAGCAGTGTCCATGCCATTGCCTGGCCCTGCCAGCTGGCCATAGTAGCAGGAGAACTCAGGAAGGAAAAAGAAAAATAAATTAAAGACTTCAGAAAAAAAGCCAATCTGTTAGCAACAGCTCTTATACAAAGAGAGATTAGCAATGTGAGAGGACGTGGACGCAGATGTAGACGTTAGGCAAGGATTCAAGAGCCAGACAAGGCTAGAGAGAAAATAATGTGCGAGATGCAAAAAGAAGGGACACTAGAAGGGTGAGTGTTCAGAAGGCAATAAAGGAAAGAGCCAAGGCTGCAAGACAAAGAGGCCATCAGCCAAGGACTGCCGCACCTTGGAGGAACCAAATACTGATCTGATCAGGCTGGCAGGACCTAAAGAATGTAAAGACTAGGGCAGACTAGGCACCTTCTCATTAGGCTGCCAGGAGCCCCTGGTCGCAGTAGAAGTTAAAAGCAGCAGGATTCTGCCACATCTGGATTCCAATTTCTCACTGATGGCTAAGCCACTAGATAGAGTTACAAAGGGAGGGAAGAAAAAGAACCCCTCCTCTAAGAAACTTAAACAGGAGAAAGAGCCATTCCTTGTGAAAACTTGCTTACAGACTTCACAGAACTGCCCCGTGCTGGAGGCTATTGCTACATCAGGGTAAGTTAAAAGTTTTCCCCACCAGGACAGAAAAAGTACAAGAAGTGACTAAAGTACTGTTAAAAGACATTATCTCCAGGTTTAGACTGCCTCTAACTTTAAAGTCAGACAACAGGCCAGCCTTTGTACCAGAAATAGTGCAAGATTTAACAAGACTGTTAAAAATAAAATAGAAGTTACACACAGCCTATTGGAAGCAAAGTTCACGAAAAGGTGGAACACACGAACTGGACTCTCGAGCAGCTACTGAAAAAATATTGCCAGGAAATTCGTTTAAGATAAAATCAAGATTTTGCCTATGATCCTCCTCCGAGTCAGATGAACCCCCACCAAACAAACTAGGTATTTGCCCTATAAGATTTTTTTCAGTCAGCCACCCCCAAATCATAGGTCAAATTAAAGGTGACCTCCAAGAACTAAAGGAATTAACCTTAAGAAAGCAAATGCAGACTTTAGAAATAGCCATACAAAGTGTTTATAATTAAATACATAAAAATGCCCATAAGCCTGATACCCCTTTAAATCTAGTGACTCTGTTTAAGTTAGAAAGTAAAATCTAATTTTTCTAGGACCCATATAGGATGGGCCCTATACTGTAATCTTGTCCACTCCCACTGCTGTTAAAGTTGCAGGTGTTGTGTCTTAGATCCACCACAGTCAGTTAACACTGGCAGCTTAGGACAAGTAGACCAGCCAGCAGGATGCAGATCATCCAACCTGGCTGATCCTGAGACGAGACCAAGCTGCTGCCGGGACGACAGCCCTGCTCTGATCACTCCAGAGGCTGACCAGTCTACAGACGGCTGAAGCTTGAAGAAACAACAAGCCCTGCTCTAGTCACATACCAGCAGCTGACTAGTCTGTGCTTGGCCGAAGCTTGAGGACTCATCGAGCAAGTAACTGTAGTTAAAAATCTTAAGACTAATAGTTTTCCTGTAATACTGTTTTCCTATTGTTCTGTCACTGTATTCAACCTTTTTCCCAGGTAAGGACCTCTTTCGTCCTTGCTGCATATAAATATGCTGTACATTGTTTTGTTGTTGTTACCCCCCATAACCATGCTAGAAGAAACACCTATATAAGGTGTCCCCACTGTACACATACTAGTTAGTCAGGAAACACAGACCCGTCCAGCCCAGCAACAATTCTGAGTCTTTAAGTTAGTGTTTAAACATATAAACCAGAAGTTACCAGAGCTTCCTCCTTTAGCAAAAAAAAAAAAAAAAAAGATAAAAAATAAATAAAACCTATTTGCTCAGCGGGCTGAAAACATTGCCGGCAGCCTAGACGTTTCTTCATGTTATGTTCATAAAAAGGCTAACATGAGAGACCAATGGCCTTGAGAAGCAAAAGAGTTAATGCCTCAAGATAACTTTAACTCTTTCCCTAAGCAGACGCCAAGTTCAAGCATCTGGCTCTTAAAAACTTCTATTATTAAGAAATACTGTGTTGCTCGCTAGGGAAAAAGCTTTTAAGACCCAGTAAAAGAAGTAACCTGCTTAGGAAATGACAAAGTTGGCACATGTGCCTGTACAGGTTTAACACAGGTTTGATCCTAGGTCTTTATTTAGAAAATAGTTTCCAGCTATAAGAGAATTTAAAACCCTCATTGTAAGTGTATTACATAAAACACTATCACTCTGTCTCCCGAAGAGACTCGGAAAGTAAAAATAAAAGAGAGAACTCCCACTAATTAGTGAAATTCTCAAAGAGGGGGATTAAGAAAGGAGACCACTACTACTCCTGCTGCCCTCTCCCCCCGCACCTTGCCTAGTTCACAAGACAGGAGGAAAGAAAGCAAAAAGAAAGAAGCAAAAAAAGTAAGATAAATAGCCAGACAGCCTTGGCACCACCACCTGGCCCTAGGAGTTAAAAAACATAATAATAATAACATCAACTCCTGACCTAAACTACTTGTGTTACTTGTAAATTCCAGACACTGTATGAAAAAGCACTGCAAAACTTTCTGTTGTTAGCTGATGCATGTAGCCCCCCGTCATGTTTCCCACGCTTGCTTGATTTATCAGGACCCTTTCACGTGGACCCCTTAAAGTTGTAAGCCTTTAAAAAGGCCAAGAATTTCTTTTTGGGGGACCTTGGCTCTGAAGTCGCAAGTCCGCCGCAAGTCCGCCGACGCTCCCGGAATAAACCTCTTCCTTCTTTAATCTGGTCTCTGAGGAGTTTTGTCTGCGCTTCTCCTGCTACAGTAGGTGACAGATGACCTTCATCCCTCATAGGACAACGTTACATCATTCTTATGAAGCAGTCATGGCTGCGCTCAGATTTAGGAAGGCACTGACTGTAACGCTTGCACTAAGAGCAAACCAGAACCCAAATGGAGAAAAGTGAGCTTTCATAAGAGGACTCATCTTCAACGCTCACAAACTTAGGCTCCCTGACTTTTATCGATAATCAGTACTGAGAACAATGCGTTCCAGACCCGCTGGCTGGCTGATGTTTGATTCTGTAACTATACCACTTCCAGAATTCTCTCAAAACTCAGCTCAGATCATGTTACTATCAGGCAGCAATGCCCCTTGGATGGATCCCCAGCGAATAAAACAAAGGTCAAATTCCTCATCCACACATTCCACAGTCCACAGGAAAGCAGCTCCAGCCGTGCCATTCTCATTTCAGGTCCCAGCACCCCGCCTCCATGACGTCAACGGGCCGCGCCACCTGGCTGCGTCATCTCGGCGCGCCGCTTCCAGGGCTGTACACCTACCGGCTGCCATGGCGGAGGTGGGCCGAGCAGGCATCAGCGACCCAGGCGCGCTGCTCCCCCGGGGCTTCTGGGCTGCGGTGGAGGTGTGGCTGGAGAGGCCGCAGGTGGCCAACAAACGGCTTTGCGGCGCCCGCCTGGAGGCCCGCTGGAGCGCTCCCCTGCCCTGCGCCGAGGCCCGCGGCCCAGGGACGAGCGCAGGCTCGGAGCAGAAGGAGCGGGGTCCGGTTCCCGGCCAGGGTTCCCCCGAAGGGGGCACGGGTCCCAGGCTGCGATCAGAACCCAAGCAGGGCATGGCATGTTGCGAACTTGAGGAGGCCCAGGGCCAGTGCCAGCAAGAGGAGGCACAGAGGGAAGCCGCCTCGGCGCTGCTGAAGGACTCCGGGCACCGGGGCCATGCTGAAGGAGACGAGGGCGACTTCCCCGCCGCAGAGCTGGATTCGCTCTGGGACGATTTCTCCCGAAGTCTCGCCCGTGGCAATTCGGAGATGCTGGCCTTCCTCACCTGCTCCGGGGCTGGATCGCAGCCAGAGGCGCAGCGTGAGCTCGACGTGGTTCTCAGAACCGTCATCCCGAAAACTAGCTCACATTGCCCCCTTACAGCTCCCAGGAGGGAAATAGTCGTGCAAGGTAAGAGTGTTTTGATAGTAGACGGATACGATTAGATAAAGAAAGCATTTACAGAACTTGTGCCAGTTGTTCTGCGATGTCCTAGGGAGGTTGTTAGGTGTTTTATAGTTTTTTGAGTCGGCGCATAGAAATGTGTGTCCTTAGTTCAGAAGATGCGATAATTGGTTGGGTTGGTGCCTGGAAGGCTTCAAAGAGACAGTGAAGGACTAACTGGATATTGCGTGATAACTAGGAGTTTAGCAGGTAAAGCTGTAGGTGTAAAAGTGTTGGGGACCAGCCTCAGCACCATCTGTAGGCTACCCAAAGTCCGGTGGCGACGAAGGAATGAGACGAGACAGGTTAAGAGTTCATAAAGAGTGGGGGCCAGGGGGCCACTTGCAAAATGGAGGCTGCAAAAGACCCAAAGTTCTGGTCTCCACACTGTTTATTGAGTACGATCACTTAGATCTAAGAAGCGGACGTTCAGGGCGAAACGGTGAAAGGGAGGCAGTGCCTCATAGTAGTGGCGGTTTAAATGAATCTCCTTTGTGCTCATACAGCATATCTTTAACTTATCGGAGAGTAACTAGTGGGAGCGGGGTTAACTAGGAGCCTGCATGTCGGCCGCATTTCATGCTTCAAAGGAGTGTCTTTCTCCTTGAACACAGCGTTTGTAGATAAGACAGTAGGTCTCGCTCGGAGCATGGGAACATTGTGGCAATCAGAAGGCTTTCCTCTTCAGAGGCCTCTTGTGGCTTTCCACAACTTATTGTCTCATATTTTTATGGCCAGTTTATACAGGCACTCCAAAAGCCTTTTCCCGAACATAAAGGGAGCTATTTATGCTGAGACAAGAAACTGAGAAAGAGCATAATTACTGGATGGATGGGAACCTGCTAGTCCTCAGCATTTGTTAAATCTCTCGCATTTGTTTTTACTGCCCGTGACCTTGACAGTTAGCCTCAGCCACTCTTACCTCAAACTTTATTCAGCAGTGTGTGTTTCCTGTTGCCACTGTAACAAATTACTGCAAATTTATTGGTCAGTACAAAAAATTGATTGTTTCAGTTCTGTAGGTCAGGAATCCTTGTTGGCTCTGCTGATTTCTCCGCTCCGGGTCTCTCTCACAAGGTCAAAATCAAACAGCCTGCTGGCTGGGCTCTTATTCGGAGGTTCTGGGAAGGAATCTGTGGCCAGGCTGGTCTTGAACGCCTTACCTCACGTGATCCGCCCGTCTTGGCCTCCCAAAGTGGGGTTATGGGCGTGAACCACCGCGCCCGGCCATGATTGTACATTTTTAAATAACGAAAAGAGTGTAATTGGATTGTTTGTAACACAAAGGATAAATGTTTGAGGGGATGGAGGCCCTATTCTCCATGATGTGATTAGTTCACATTGCAGGCCTGGATCAAAACATCTCATGTACCCCATAAATATATATACCTGCTATGTACCCACAAAAATGAAAAATTTAAACATTTAAAAAATGGTAATTTGTCATTGTGTAGTGACAACAGTGACAGCAGATTTGGGGTTGCCACACTGGGTAGGGAGGGACGGGATGCTGCTGGCATCTAGTAGGTAGGGCTGGGGCTTCTGGTAAACATCCTACAGCGCACAGCACAACTCCCAACAAGGAGTTATCCAGCCACAAATGCCAGTGACGCTGAGGCTGAGAAACCCTGATCCAGAGGATGGGGAAAATAATACTGGATGATAAAGATGTGAGTTTTATTTTACTTTATTTATTTTTTGTATAAATAGGGTCTTACTATGTTTCTTAGTCTGGTCTCTAACTCCTGGTTTCAAGTGAGCCTTCCAAAGTGCTGGGACAACAGGCATGGGCCATCACGCCTAGTCCTCTTGCAGTTTTTAAATGAGATCATTCATGGAAAGAATGATGTATTGCGTCAGTCCTCTTCTCTCTGGTCTCATTCACAGTAAAAACTGTAGTTGTGTGAACTGCAAGGCCCTGTGTGACCTGGGTGGGCCCTGTTACCCTTTGATTTCACCTGCCACCACTTGTCACCTTGTCCACACCGCTCACCTCCATTCCCCATGCACCTGAGTGCACGCCTGCCCCAGGGCCTCTGCAGTTGCTGCTCCTGTGTCTGAAACACTCTTCCTCTAGGTGCCCCATGGCACACTCGCTGACCTCCTTCAGCTCTCTGCTCAAATGTCACCTTATTAGGGAGGACTTCCCTGGCCACCCTCTATTCCATAGCAGTAGAATCTGTCGGAGTTTTCTCGGTCCCACACTGCTTGTTTTCCATCTGAATCCACTCAGCTCCTTCAGCCTCTGCTTCCCTTTGGCAGGTCTTGTTCTTTCATTTGCTGTGGAAGGTGAACCGCAGTTGTGCATACTTGGCCTGTGAAGTGTATATTCCTCTTTAACTGAGAGTTTGCCATTTTTTTTTAAATATCAAAGGTAAACATGATTGATTTTAGAGATAGAACTTTATACAACCAAACCTTAAGTATCCACACAAACTGACAGAATGCTGTAAATTTAGCTAGGGAGTATGCCACTCTGCTTATATTTTAATGGGAAGGTGACTGCGGAGTCCCTCCATGCAGCGAGGGCTCCACACAACATAAAGCCGTTGTTAGGAGGGCCTGGACTGATGTCCACTTTCCTGAACTGGCCTCTGATGGCTGAGCAGTGTTCTGTGCCTTGCTCACACTCGAAGATCACGGTCAGGCTGTGGCAGACATTCAGCTAGGGCAGAGGTCCCCTGTTTTCTCTGATTGTAGCTCTCAAGTTCCATCACAGTCCACGTTGGCTGGCTCTTCCCTCAGGTCCTGGCTCATGCGTCCCTCAACAGATACCTGCTGAGAAGGGCTGCCGCGTGCCTGGCACGTTCTAGGCTGTGGGCTGTAGCAGTGAATGAAAGGCAACGGCTCCTCTCCTGGAGTGCCACTGTGGATCGAGTGCTGGGCATTGAGAGCGTCGGGCCTGACTCATCCCTATTTGTAATACTGCTTCTCATGAGACAGTAGCTAGGCAGTTGTAATTTGTCCTTCTTCTCTTTTTCTTTCCAGATGTCCTCAATGGAACTGTAACGTTTTTGCCTTTGGAAGAAGATGATGAGGGGAAGTTAAAGGTTAAGATGAGCAATGTATATCAAATTCAGCTCAGTCATAGCAAAGAAGAATGGTAAGAGCTGGACAGTGGACTCCTAGTTTTATGGTTTCCATTGAGGATTTCTTTAGGTAGCCAAAGGATTCTGGGTTGCCAGAGAGTTTAAGGTCCTGTCTCTGAGGTGGTTGTGGTTTGTAGGAATGCAGTTGCTAGCTCATGTGCCCATGCCATGTTGCTCTTCCTGTTGGTACTGCGAGTCTGGGTGGTCACAGCCTGGCTGGGGTCTCTGATCTCTACCTTCCCTGTGGCTATGATGTTCAGCAACCCTCAGTGTTAGCTCTGAAGTCAAATACACTCAAATTCCTTTATTGTTACTGTTATTATTATTATTATTATCACTGTTGCCCAGGCTGGAGTGCACTGGTACCATCTCATTTCACTGCAACCTCTACCTCCTGCATTCAAGTGATTCTTGTGCCTCAGTCTCCCGAGTAGCTGGGACTGCAGGCACCCACCACCACACCCAGCTAATTTTTGTATTTTCAGTAGAGAGGGGGTTTCACCATGTTGGCCAGGCTGGTTTCAAACTCCTGACCTCAGGTGATCCACCTGCCTTGGCCTCCCAAAGTGCTGGGATTACAGGCATGAGCTACCATGCCCAGCCTATTTTGTTATTTTTTATGACTTAGTAATGGGGAATAGTTGATGCTTCCTCCTGTAGTAAGTATTCAGTGATACTTACTATAAAGCGACAGTTTAATAAGCACCCTTAATTCCATGTGGTATTTGGGCCTGTACAGAAAGTATGAAATTTAATTCATACTGTTTTTTGTTTTGTTTTGAGATGGAGTCTCGCTCTGCCGCCCAGGCTGGAGTGCAGTGGTACGATCTCGGCTCACTGCAACCTCCGCCTCCCAGGTTCACGCCATTCTCCTGCCTCAGCCCACTGAGTAGCTGGAACTACAAGCGCCTGCCACCACGCCCAGCTAATTTTTTATATTTTTAGTAGAGACGGGGTTTCACCGTGTTAGCCAGGATGGTCTCGATCTCCTGACCTCGTGATCCACCCGCCTCGGCTTCCCAAAGTGCTGGGATTACAGGCATGAGCCACCTCGCCTGGCCTTGATCGTTTGGTATTTTTAAAACAAAAAAGTCAGAGGAGGGGTGAATTCATTCATTACTCGTCAACTGATATTTTCCTGAGTGCGACATCCAACCTGTACTTTCTGGAACAGTCTTGGGGATAACATCTGAGTAACTGGAATGAGTTTGCCTGGGGCTTCCTAGAAGGCAGAGGGGTGTGGTGAGAAGAGTGTGGGCTTCCCACTAGCAGTGTGGTCTTGGGTATGTGCTCTACCTCCTGGCCCTCCGTCTGCTCACATTGAAATGGGTTTAATCATTCCTGAGCCTCTGAGGAGGTGGCAGGGCTGGGCCTCACATGGACCTGTTGCAGCCTTCGCGCTTGAAAAGGGTGCTTAGGTCCTGTAGCATGAAGCCCTTTGAGAACCATCCAGAGGTTGGCCCTAGGTCCCTTCCTGCCAGCATGCCCTTGTTGGAGAGTGGGGAGGGACAGTAGACACTAGGAGAAGCCAGGCTTACCTGTGCCAGGCACCTCCATGCTCGGTGATGCTGAGCTGTGTGCCTGTTAGCCCGAAGGTGGTGCCTGTCTTGGGTGCGGTGGGCACGCGGCGCAGGGCGGGGTTGCAGGAGGTGCTCGGCATGGGCCTGCTGCATTGGAGTGACCTTCACTGCTCTTTGATGAGCTACGGAGGACATGGCTGCTGCCCCTGCCTTCCCAGCGTGGCATTTCTAGTTGTAGCCTCACCAGGCAACTGTTCCTCGCAGTCTCTGGGCACAGGTCACACTTGAGGGGCCAGCTGTGTTGCCTTCTGAGTTGAACACAAATGAGGGGCTCCACTGCCGATGTGCGTGCTTCCTCGCAGCTCGATGCGTTTTCAGCAACAGTTGTTACATGCCCAGCATGTGCTGGGGCTGGGCACCCAGCGGGAAGCGAGTCTCCTGGGGCAGTGGAGAATATGCTCCCATACCACGTGGTGCAGGGAGGAAAACAACCGAGCAGGACTGTGTCCCCTCATTAGAAGTGGCAGTGTGTGGCCAAGGTATGTGGGAAGGCCTCTGAGAAGGGACATGGAAGAGAGGCGGATGAAGGAGGAGGCCGTGTGGACCTCTGGGGGACCCTGGGGAAGAGCACGAGGCCCGGGGAAGAGCGAGGAGTGCCCCTTGGGCAGAATCTGTCTGCAGCGCGCAGGGGCCACCGAAGTTAGTGTCAGGCCCAGCAGGAACGCTTCTGACTGAGCGGGACAGACCTCAGAGTCCCGAGGAAGGAATTGGGCCAGGGGAAAGGTTCAGACCCACTCTGGGGTCACTCTCTGGAGAATCTTCTGGAAGTGACTTGTGTCCCTCTGAGGCACCGTGGCGGCAGAAAACCTGGACACCACAGCGCTCACCAGACGGACCACTGGCCGTTGTCCCTGCTCCAGGACCGTGCTGCTGCTGCGTCCTCAGCGCTCCCGTCAGACGGGCCACTGGCCGTTGTCCCTGCACCAGGGCCGTGCTGCTGCTGCGCCCTCAGCGCTCCTGTCAGGCCCTCCGGCTCTTCCCCGCTCACCCAGTGGCTGGGTTTGCTTGTTCTCAGGAATGTCCATTGAATGGCGCTTTTATGGTAGCTTTCTCTCATCTCCCCAGCAAACTTAATTCCCTCCCCTTCCTTATGCTGCCCCAAATGCAGCCCTTGGGCAGTGTATTGTTATCTGGGTTCGTGTCTGTCCCGCCAGTCCTCCCAAGGATTGTGAGCTTTTACTCATGTATTGAATGCATCCATGAACAGTGCCTGCCGTGTGTCAGCACTGCTGGGACCTGGGGGCGGAGCAGTGAGCAAGACAGACAGAAGCCCTGCCCTCGTGACCTTCTGATGGCAGAAGACATGTGAAAGGCAAAATAAGCCAGCAAAATGCACAGCAGCCTGTGGCTGAGCACTTCACTTTCTGGCAAGTAGCATTCAGTGAGCCAGTATACTCATTTGAGTTGCACATGTGAAAATGCGTAAAGAAATGTTAGGAAAATCCTCGGACGTTTAGACTCTGGCTCCTTGTGCATGAAGCAGCAGGCGAGAGTCCTTTATTTGTTCGGCTGCCTCAGGGGCTTCACGGGTGTGTAAGTATGTTCTTAACAAAGTTTGCAAGAGAAGAGGATTCTCTGTGCTTTGTACATGTTTTTCTCTATTAGGTGAAAGTTCTGTAACTAGTTCTAGTTCCTTTTATGTTTTTGGTAATGTAACTATAGATGTCTTAGCTTCTGTTCTCTTCATTAGGTAAATAAATAGATAATTTTAAAATAAGAATTAAACATATCTGTGCTCATTCATATTTCTCTTATTTTTAAAGGTTCATATCTGTTTTAATTTTCTGTCCAGAAAGATGGCATTCAGATGGAATTGTGTATCCCAAACCCACATGGCTTGGAGAAGAGTTGCTGGCCAAGTTGGCCAAGTGGTCTGTAGAGAACAAGAAGAGTGACTTTAAAAGCACCCTTTCCCTCATCTCCGTTATGAAGTATAGCAAGGCTTACCAGGAACTTAAAGAGAAGTATAAGGAAATGGTTAAGGTAATGTTGGTGGAGAGTATCTGTGATTTTTCCCCCTTCATGGTTTTTGTGTGTGTGTGTGTGACAGAGTCTTGCTCTGTTGCCCCAAAAAAAAGGGCCAGAGTGAAGTGGCGTCATCTTGGCTCACTGCAGCCTCCGCCTCCCGGGTTCAAGAGATCCTCCTGCCTCAGCCTCTCGAGTAGCTGGGACTACAGGCACACGCCACCACGCCTGGCTAATTTTTTGTATTTTTATTAGAGATGAGGCTTCAGCATGTTGCTCAGACTGGTCTCGAACTCCTGAGCTCGGGCATTTCGCCCGTTTCGGCCTCCCAAAGTGCTAATATTACAGGCGTGAGCCACCGTGCCCCACTCCCCCTTAAATGAAATGAGGTAAAATACCTGGCAATTTACTTTGCCAGGTAAAATTGTTTTTCCTGTTGCAGGCTGTACTTTGACATACTTAGGGGTGCACACAACAAAAACATAGATACATAATGGAAAAGGATTGATCTCCTGTATTATTTATTTTCAAGAGACCTAAAGGGAAATATTTAATTGAAAAGTAATGGAACCTTGAAAAAAAAAGGCTAAATTACCATAGTTCTATGTATAAACCTAAAGATATTTTAAGAAAATATATGAAAAGTTCAAGTACAATAGAGCAGTTCCCAAAAGGAGACATATTTCATCATAACATGTGCTTAAACTTTCTGAGACGTAAAAACAGCATAACAAGAAACATCTGTGTATTTATGCCCAGCTTAAGGCAGAAAGAAGGCATTGCTGGTAGAGTCAAAGCTACTTAATATTCTTCCAAGTTCCCATCTTCCTCCCCCTCCGAGGAGTAACCAGTTTGTCATTTCCATGGTTTTCTGTTTGTTTGTGTTTTGTTTTTGAGACAGGATCTCACTCTGTCGCCTAGGCTGGAGTGCGGTGGTGCACCCACTGCAGACTCAACCTCCTGGGCTCAAGCGGTTCTCCCAGCTCAACTTCCCTGGTTGCTGGGACCACAGGCGCATGCTGCCATGCCTGGCTAATTTTTTGTATTTTTTGTAGACACAAAGTTTTGCTCTGTTTCCCAGGCTGGTCTCAAACTCCTGGGCTCAAGTGATCCGCCTGCTTTGGCCTCCCAAAGTGCTGGGATTACAGACATGAGCCACTGTGCCCGGCTTCCATGTATTTTTTTAGTCAGTCACCTCTTGCTCTGTAACAAAAGCACCCCAAAAGTCGCAGGCTTAAAGCTGTGACTTTTCATTATTGCTGAAGCACCTGTGGGTCGCAGGGGTTGGCTGACTGAGGCTGGGCTCCCTCCCACATCCTGGCCTTGTGGTCCTTTGCCATCTTGTTAGCTATTTAGTACCATCCAGAAGGTACTTTTTGTTTTTCCAGCTTTTGAAATTGTTTCTAGTGAGATGGTTCATCTGGATTGTCTAAGGCACTATGACTGGAAATACAAATTTCAACTTTTAACATTGGCCATTGGTTTTTCCTCTTTTGCCTAATGCCACTTCTGAACATGACTACTTTTAATAATGAGAGCTCAGTTTTGCACAGCTCGTGCTTTACAGTTTTCAGAGCACCTTGATTATCCTGTGTGTTAGTTGAGGCACGGGCTTTATTCCTGTTTGACAGGTAGGGCGACAGCAGCCACTGATGGACCAGGGGCTGGAGCACTGGTCTCCTAGTCCGTGGCTCGTGGCTTTCCCTGCCCTAGTTTCACTCCCGCCCCTCGTTTCCTTGTTCTTTGCCCTCGGTGAGCACCGTGTAGCTGAGTGTTTTCCTGTGTCCACTGTCTCAGCTCAGCACCTTAGGTACATTCTGTTGATTGTGAAATCTTGCTGTGGATTGTAGTGTTCTTGGCATGCCTTGTTTCTTTATGGAAATCTTTTATTGTAAGAAACCAGTTGTGAATTCCTGCCTTTGAGCTTATATTTCCTATTTTAGTGCACGATTAGTCCAGTTTGATTTATGCTTTATAGGGATACTTAAGTATTGGGACATGGTGGTGGAAAAACCGAACAATTTACGTTTGCTCTTGAAACTGTTTTAGGTGTGGCCTGAAGTCACTGATCCTGAGAAGTTCGTGTATGAAGATGTGGCTATTGCAGCATACCTGCTGGTAAGGGTGTGCGCAACCTTAGCTTCTCTGGAGCGGGTGGAGGTTGCTACGGGCAGATGTTCCCAGTAGTGAAGGACATTTTCCGAATCCATAACAGCCGGTGCTCACAGTTCTGCTGGCCAAGGTTGGTTACCCATGTAACGGTTTGACTTCATATGGTCCTTTTGATGCGTCTAGAACAAGTTTGGGTTGAAACTTGACCTCGGGTTCAAACTTGACCTGCAGGTGGAACTGTATGTCCACACTCAGCAGTCATCGTGGAGGCGCTGTCTGGCACAGGGAAGCACTGAGGAGCGCATGTCTTCCAGCCCTGGCCTAGAACCTTCTGGCCCTTTCCTCAGCTGGCTCGCTAGCTGGCTACATTTGGACATGCCCTCTGATTTAATCATCTTGGTTTACTTATCTATAAGAATGTTTAGAGTAAGCTGGGTTCAGTGGCTCATGCCTGTAATCCCAGCACTTTGGGAGGCTGAGGCAGGCGGATCACTTGAGATCAGGAGTTTGAGACCAGCCTGGCCAACATGGTGAAACCCCGTCTCTACTAAAAATACAAAAATCAGTTGGGCTTAGTGGCAGGTGCCCATAGTTCCAGCTACTGGGGAGGCTGAGGCGGGAGAATTGCTTGAACCCAGGAGGCGGAGGTTGCAGTGAGCCCAGATCATGTCACTAGCCTGGGTGGCAAGAGAAGGACTCCATCTCGAAAAAAAAAAAAAGAATGTTTAATGTAGATAATTTCCAGTTTCCTCTCACTCAGAGTTTTCTTTGACCAGTTTGTGTCTGAACTATTCTTGCGTAGAGTGAATTACTACCTGATTTTGTTATGTGTTTCTCTTCACTTAGATTCTGTGGGAAGAAGAAAGAGCCGAGAGGGGACTAACTGCCAGGCAGTCCTTTGTGGACCTGGGATGTGGAAATGGCCTCCTGGTCCACATCCTCAACAGTGAGGGGGTAAGGCCGGCTCCCTCACCTTTTCTGGTAACTTGTCCAGAGTTTCCTCAGGTCAGGCACAGGGTTCACTGACATCTTTTTCTGCTGGTACAGCCTGGATTTGGAGTTAGCCGGCTCTCAGAGTAGGTAGGGACTTATAAATTTCTGTTAATTTGATAAACAGCTCGTAAAACAAAAGAAACGCGGTAATCGAATTGGACCTAAGTGGAAGTCCCCAGGCCCCGGTGTGGACCTATAAAATGACAGGCTTTGAGTAGCGTGGATGTTTTTTTGCTGTCAGAAATTTCTTTTGAAACCCACCATCTCAAGGAGCTGGAGGGAGATAAAAAGCAAGGCAGGTTCTGCACTTTAGAAGCTTCAGGCCAGGCACGGGGCTTCAGTCCCAGCACTTGGTCAGCCGAGGCGGGAGGATCACTTGAGCCCAGGAGTTTGAGACCAGCCTGGGCAGCATGGTGAAACCCCGTCTCTGCAAAAAAATAAAAACAAATAAGAGAAGCTTCAGTTCTGGCTCGGACGGCCAGTCATGTATACACAGACAACAATATGGAACAGTGTGGTGCTGGGTTTTGCCCCCGTTTTCTGGATGTTCACCTGATGGAGTGGCGGCACCTGCCCAGGGAGCACTGTCAGTAGGGGTGGGTCAGCTCTCGGTGGCTCGTGCCTGGAGCTTCCTGCCAGCAACTCGTACCCCTTCTGGTGCGTCCAGCGCACCAGGTGCTATTACCCCATGATACGATGGCGAGCTTAGCCACTTCCTGCTAGGGAGCAACAGCTGGAACCTGCAGCCCAGTCTGGTGGTCCCAGGCTGGTTTTCTTCCTGCTGTACTGTACAGTGCTGTACTGATGGGCTGCACATATTTGCCGACGCCTCCAAGAGCCTGAAATGGTTGTCACAATGCCCTTTTCAAGTGTGTTATTGAAGAATGAGTTTCTAATCATAATACCTGTAAACTGGTTGTGGGGGTGGTAGCGTATCAGGTGGCAGCTTGGAAGCTGGTACCTGGAGACAGCTGGGAGGTGTCTCATGCACCCCTCCTCTTCTGCAGGCTTGGAATAAATAAGTTTGCCCTGTGAGAGCCAGTGAGGGTGGCCAAGGTGCAAGAAGAGCAGGCAGCTGACCTTGACTAAGAGCAGAGAATTGGCTCACGTTCTCAAGTGTGCCCCCAGGGGCACTGCCCTGGAAATGTTCCCACACTAAAGGCCACTGTGGTCACTCAACTCCATGGCCCATTTGAAGACTCATAATGACCGTTAGCGGAGTACACCTTCTTACCTGCCTCGCAGGGGTGGGGGTGTCTGTTTCAGACGGCTGAGAAATCGTGCTTGTGCCATCCGCGAATGCTAATGACACACTGGAAAAAGGGCATTGTAACAACCATTTCAAGCTCTTGGAGGCGTAGGCAAATATGTGCAGCCCATCAGTACAGCACTGTACAGTACAGCAGGAAGAAAATCAGCTTGGGACCACCAGACTGGGCTGCAGGTTCCAGCTGTTGCCCCTAGCAGGAAGTGGCTAAGCTCACCATCGTATCATGGGGTAATGGCACCTGGTGCGCTGGACACACCGGGAGGGGTACGAGTTGCTGGCAGGAAACTCTTCTCTTGCCCTTTGTGCTGCTGGCAGTGCCTGCAGAGCTTTAATGTGTTCTTGCTAACTTATTATGAAGTACTAAGCTTAACCTTTGATTTCTAAAATTAATGTTTTCAGCATCCAGGCAGAGGGATTGATGTCCGGAGAAGAAAAATCTGGGACATGTATGGACCACAGACTCAGTTAGAGGTACCGTCTTTGTTATGCATGCCCTTGATCTCAGCATGGCTTAGCCCCCAGTGGGAACTGCTGTAATGAATGTGTCTCTTTGTGTAGGTCAAGCAGACATGCTGATAGCAAACCTTCACATTCATCTAAGTGCCCTAAAATTAGAGAAGAGAGAAAGAAAGACAAAACTAGACCTTGCAGAGCTTTCTGGTTAAACTGACTGAAGGGCGCTGACCTCCAGGCGAAGGTGCTGTCTCTCCCTGAGTCTGTCGGTGCCATTTGTATCTTGTGTGGGGTGCTCCCGTGCCGCCTTGAGGTGGGGGCCGTGCCCCGTGCCCTTTGTGAAGTCTTCTCCAAGGCCTCCCAAAGGCTGCTCTTTGCAGTCAGCAAGCAGTGACTACCATGCCTGCCAGGACTCCACCAGGATGGGGACACCTGCAGCTGAGCCACCTAGGGTGGTGGCTGTGCCAGGGCTGGATAGGTTTACAGGGCTGTGGGGACTCAGAGCCCTCTAAACCTTGACCCCACTCGGGGCCTCTGAGAAGGCTTCTTGGAGCACCCCCATGAGCAAATGGAGGCAGCCAGGTGCCCGGCATGGAAGTGAGATGCCCCGGTGGGATCACCTCTGGGCACACGGATGATGTGCAGGGCAGACTGGGCGGCCCCACGTAAGTTCTCTCATATCTTTGGGCCAGTCCTCTTTAGCCTTCACATTTCCCTTTTTTAGGACTTGAAAGGGACAGTCTCACTTTTCTTAATGCCCCTACCCAGAGATAATCACTCTCTTTTATTTAGGGAAATCAATATGTACACATTTAGAGTTTTAAAAAATAACAGAACTTTGACCCTGGCTGCTTCTGTTCGTTTAACATCCCATCCTAGGCATTTTCTGAAGTCTTTGACAATTATTTGCAAGCACGTTGTTAATGGCTGAATAATGTTCCATTGAATTGAAGGTAACAGCAACACAAACAAGTACAGCTGACCCTTGAACAACACGGGATTGAACTTTGTGGGCCCACTAGTATGCAAAGTTTATTCAGTAAATACATTGGAAAATTTTTTTGGAAATTTGCAACAATTTGAAAAAACTTACAGATGAAATGCATAACCTTGAAATAGTGAAAAAAATTCAGAAAAAGTTAGATATGTCCTGAATGCATTAAACACACATACATACTAGTCTATTTTACCATTTATTGAAATATATACAAATATATACCATTTACTACCATGAAATACATACAAAGTTAAAATCTATCAAAACTTACACAAACCCAGACTGTATGTGGTGTCATCCTCTGTCAAGAGAAATGTGAACGTAAAGATGCAGTATTGAATCATAATTGCATGAAATTAACTGTAGTCCATACTACGCTACTGTAAAATGTCCTGGTCACCGCTCGTTGCTACTGCAGTGAGCCCAAGTGTTGTCAGTGCCCTTTAAAATGCTGAGTGACACCGATCACCTCCGTGGCACCCGCTCATTCCTCCAGTCAGGTGCAGAGCCCAGTGAAACGTGATCTCTGGTATTTTTCAACGTGTTTGGTGCAGTCCTGTAAACCTCGAGCAGCACCGTGGGACCCATGCACAATGCCACTGGTGATGCTGGAAGTCTCCCAGGAAGCAGAGAAAAGTCAGGCATTAGAAGAAAAGGCTGAGTTCCTCGATATGTCTTACGGATTTCGGTCTGCAGCTGCAGTTGCCTACCATTTCAAGATAAATGAATCCAGTGTAAGGATTGTTTAAAAAAAAAAAAAGCAAGAGAGGGAAAGAAATTTGTGAAACTCTCACTGCAGCTACACCAGCAGGCGGGAAAACCTTCACTTTTTGCAAAATACCTTTTCGTCTCATATTTAGAATGCAGCTTTGATGTGGTTGCCGGATTGCTATGAGCAAAGCATACATAAAGACTCTAATATGATTTAAGAAAAAGCAAAGTCATTATATGACAAAGCAGAAAGAAGGTGAAGGTTCTAAAGCTGGAGAATTTAATGCCAACAAAAGATTATTTGATAGTTTTAGAAAGTGATTTGGGTTTTAAAAATATCTAGATAACAGGAGTAGCAGCTTCAGCTGACCAAGAGGCAGCAGATGAGTTCCCAGACGCCATTAAGAAAATCACCAGAGAGGCCAGGTTTGGTGGCTCACGCCTATAATCTTAGCACTTTGGGAGCCCAAGGCTGGAGGATCGCTTGAGGCCAGGAGTTCAAGACCAGCCTGGGCAACATAGCAAGACCCCCCCCCCCCCCCCGCATCTCTACAAAAAATAAACAAAACATTATAAAAAGAAAATCATCAAGGAGAAAGGATGTCTGCCTGAACAGGTTTTTAATGCAGGTGAAAATGCCCTATTCTGGAAAAAAAATGCCGAAAAGAAGAGAAGCAAGCCCCAGAATTTAAGACAGGAAGCGACAGGCTAGTCTGCTGTTCTGTGCAAATGCAGTCAGGTTTATGATCAGGACTGCCCTTATCTGTAAAGCTGCTAAGCCTCAGTTTTAAAGGGAAAGGAGAAACACCAGCTGCCAGTCGCTCAATTGTACAAGAAGGCCTGGGCAGCAAGAACTCTATTGTGATTTCATCAGGGCTTTGTCTCTGAAGTCAGGAAGTACGTTGTTAGTAAGGGACTACCTTTCAATGTTCTGTTGATATTGGACAATGCTCCTGGCCACCCAGAACCTCTTGAGTTAACACCAGTGGTGTGGATGTGGTCTGCTTGACCCCAAACAGCATCTCTCTTCAGAGAGTTACAAGGACCTTGAAGCCTCATTATGTACAGTATTCAATGGAAAGGATTGGATGCTGCAGAAGAGAACTACGAGAGAGAGAGACCAGCATGAAAATCCTGCAAGGATTTTACCACTGAAGACACCATCATTGCTACGGAAAAGGCCATGAAAGCCACTGAGCCTGAAACAAATTCCCACCAAAGAAAACGGTGTCCAGATGTTGACCTGACTTCACAGGATTTACAATAGAGCCAGTCAAGGAAATCATGAAAGAGATTGTGGGTATGGCAAACAAAGGTGGGAGATGAAGGGTGCAAGATACGGCTCTTGAGAAATTCCAGAGCTAATAGACACCACTCCAGAGGAATGAACTACAGACGACCTGATGGAGATGAGTGCTTCCAACCCAGCGTCAGATGATGAGGAAGAAGATGTAAAAGAGACAGTGCCAGAAAGCAAATTGGCATCAGACAGTGTGGCAGAAGGGTCCTGATTAGTCAAGACTGCATTTGACTTCTTTTGTGACATACTCACTTCTGCGATACGCACCGAAACTAAAGGAAATGGTGGAAGAAGGATTGGCACTGCTAGAAACTAAAAAGTAAAGCAGACAGAAATTATGATGTACTTCCATGAAGTTATACTGAATGTGCCTGCCTCTCCCGCCTCCCCTTCCACCACCTCCACGTCTTCCACACCTGAGACAGCAAGACCTATCCCTTCTCTTCCTCCTCCTCCTCAGCCTGCTTGGTGTGAAGAGGATGGGGATGAAGATCTTTTTGATGGTTGGTCCACTTCCACTCAATGAACAGTACATTTTCTCTTTCTTGTGATTTTCTTTTATTTTTCTTTTCTTTTTTTTTTTTTTTTTTTTGAGACAGGGTCTCGCTCTGTCACCCAGGCTGGAGTGCAGTGGTGTGATCTAGGTTCACTGCAACCTCTGCCTTCCAGGTTCAAGCAGTTCTGCCTCTCGAGTAGCTGGGTTTACAGGCACTCACCACCATGCCCAGCTATTTTTTGTGTTTTTGGTAGAGATGGGGTTTCACCATGTTGGCCAGGTTGGTCTCGAACTCCTGACCTCAAGTGATCCACCTCGGCCTCCCAAAGTGCTGGGATTACAGGTGTGAACCACCGCACCCAGCCACGATTTTCTTAATAACATTTTCTCTAGCTTTATTTTAAGGATATAGTATATAATACACAAAATGTGTTTTAATTGACTTTTACGTTTATATTATTGATAAGTCTTCTGGTCACCAATAGGCTATGAGTAGTCAGTTTTGGGGGAGTCAGAAGTTATACATGGGTCAGGTATAGTGACTCACACCTGCAATCCTAGCTCTTTGGGAGGCCAAGGTGTGAGGATCACTTGAGTCCAGGAGTGTGAGACCAGCCAGGGCAACATGGCAAAACCCCGTCTCTACTTAAAAAAAAAAAAAAAAAATTAGCTAGACGTGGTGGCATGCACCTGTAGTCCCAGCTATGCTAGAGGCTGAGGTTGGGGGGGTCACCTTAGCTTGGGAGGTTGAGGCTGTGGTGAGCCTCGATTGTGCCACTGCACACCAGCCTGGGCGCTGCAGGTGAGACTCTGTCTCCAAAAGTTGTACACAGATTCTTAACTGCATGTGTAGGGTTTCAGTACCCCCTAACCCCCACATTGTTCAAGGACCAGCTGGATAGTAATAAAAACTGACAGTCATCCAGTGCTGTGTGTGGATGCCTTTCTAAAGGTAAATGTACTTTATGTACAGTAACTTACTGTAATCCTCACAACAGCACTGGGAGGTTGATTCTCTTATTATCCCCATTTTACAGGCGAGGAAACCGAGGTACACTTGGGGAGGTTAGGTCAGCCATGTGTACAGCAAGCGGTGAAGGCAGAATTATTTACTCAGCTCTTCTGTTCTTGGCCATCTGTTTTCAGATTACAAATTACACTACATAAATCTTTGTGTGTAAATCGTCCACTTAAAAAATATTTTTCATACCTGGACTTTAAAGATTTTCAATACATATTGCCATACTGCTTTTCAAAAAGGTCCTACATCAGATACACTTCATTTCAGAAAGAATTCTGAGCACTACAAGAGATGCATCCAATAGGAGAAAAAAACAGCTGTACAGATTGATCATATATTTGAGTGCCCACTCCCTGCCAGGCACTCTTAGGTGCTGACGAAAAAACAGTGACAAGACCCCTGCCTTTATGGTCATGGGAAGGGGGCAGGAGGCAGACAACCTGCAGACACACAGCCAGTGCGTGCAGCAGGTTGGAGGGTGGTGGCAGGTGCTGAGGAGGCCGGGGGTGTTGCGTAGTGGCCACCGCTGGAGAAGATAATGGAACAGAGGCTGGGCCGGGGTGGGCTACAGACATCCAGACGCCTGGGGTTCTGGACCTGACAGCCCATCTATTCCTCGCTGTCAGCCAGTCCTGGGCACTAGAGCCATGTGACCATGAGCTTAAAGTGCACTCAGGTGTCAGACCTTGGTCAAGAGTAGCCTGGTACTGAGGACAGAGAAATGACTCCCTAATGGGAAAAAAGTCATAAGTCGCCTCAGGAGCAGTCCTAGGACAGGTTATAGTGGCTCTGTGGGCGTGGCCTCACTTTCCCAGGGTGGTGTGGGAGTGGCCTTTCCCTCTGGGTGGGCCTGTGGGCACGGCCTCACTTTCTTTGGGTGGTGGTTGGGCGTCGTCTCGCCTCCTCTGGGTGGTGGTGTGGGCGTGGCCTCTCCCTCTGGGTGGTGGTCAGGGCGTGGCCCCGCCCTCTGGGTGGTGTGGGTGTGGCCTCGCCGCCTCTGGGAGTCTGTGTGGGCGTGGCCTCTCCCTGTGGGTGGTGGAGAGGGCGTGGCCTCTCCCTCTGTGTAGCTCTGTGGGCGTGGTTGTCCTTCCCGCCAAACAGCTGCTGCTTCCTAGCTGCTCAGATTGCCTCACGACCTCATCCACGTAAACGCTTGGATGCGACTAGGTCACAGAGCCTCATCTGCCAGAAGGCAGAATGTTGCTTTATGAAATTTAAAAATGTGGTTGATTACAAAATTCCGTGTGTCCCCAGGTGAAAAAGCACCTATGGATAGGAAATTCAAGCAGCAGTGAGTAGGCCATCTGTGTAAGCCCAGACCCTAGGGAAGAACTGCTGGGGGTGCCCCTTGGAGAACGGGCAGAAGCTCTAGTTCTTTAGCTGAGGTTCCCCAGCAGCCTGCATCAGACTTTTCTGTGGGGTCATCTGACCTGGGGAGACCCTACCCCAAGCACTTAGCCTGCTGGTGAGAGTGCCGTATTCTAATCAAGTGTGTAGGTTTTTTCCTCGTTACCTCCCAATCTTCAGTCTCGGTACTAAAATAGCTGTGTTTATTCTAGTGTTAAGTAAATGCCAGGAGTTCTGTCATGCTTTCTGCCCTGGAGGAGCATGGCCAGAATGAGGGTGGTTCTGTTGACATGTGCGTGGTGTTTGTGGACTTTCTAGTGAATGATTTCCTCCCAGCTGCAGTTGAGTGGTTTCTGTGAACAGGTACAATCTAGAAAGTCAAAGGCCAAGCGTACAATACAACTTTTTTTCTTTCTTTCAAAAACCTCATTTGATTGCAAGCAAGAGAGTGTTAAAAAACTAAAAACACCTGTTTATAACAACAGCATGGTGGTGATCACAAATTGTCTTAATTGTGTGAACCTATATATGAAACAGGAATATTGGAATTTGCTGTGTTCAAAATGCCAGTTAAAACTTCATAAAGGCCAGGCATAGTGGCTCACACCTGTAATCCCAGCACTTTAGGAGGCCAAGGTGGGCGGATCACCTGAGGTTGGGAGTTCAAGACCAGTCTGACCAACATGGAGAAATCCTGGCTCTACTAAAAATACAAAATTAGCCGGGTGAGGTGGCACATGCCTGTAATCCTAGCTACTCGGGAGGCTGAGGCAGGAGAATCTCTTGAGCCAGGGAAGCAGAGGTTGCAGTGAGCCAAGATCACACCACTGCACCCCAGCCTGGGCAACAAGAGCGAAACTCCATCTCAAAGAAAACAAAAAAAACAACACAAAAACAAACTTCATAAAACAGGTGGGGCTTTGATATCTAGTGCTGTTGGCAATATAAAATATGATTATGGTCTTTACTAAATGTCAGTTATGCTTTAATTTATTCACACCATTTAAAGAGACAGATGGGCAAACAAACCTAGAATGAGTGGGAATCAAGAATAAATAGTCCCAAAGGTTTGACCTCTCTGTAGATTATACGTATACCTTGAACAATACTATTTTCAGTATTTTAACATCTATGTAAAGAGAAACACGTGTGCTTATTGAAGAACCAGAGAGAGACAGAATTTCAGTTTTAGTTTTTTACATATCATATCTGCAAAACATTCTTGTGTTGCGGTTTTGCTGTTAGAAAGAATAGCCTTGAAGAGGGAGTATCTCAGAATGGCTTCCCCGTTCCGATCAGGGAATAACTTCTGTTTGCTTATCTTGGGGACTCACCCTACCCCTGGAAAATTGAGAAGATTTTCAGTGGTTGTGTAGTCTCTCTTCCCCCTCTCTCTTTCCAGTTTTTACTGACAGAATTGCTACTGAGACTGTTGATTTCAGTAATTAATGATGGCCTGCTAAGATCAGAAAGGGTAGGGTGCCTATTCAAAGTTCTGAAATCGTAAAAGCAAGCTGTCCTCAGCTTAACTGCAGAATTTGTCAGAATGGTTAGAGTACCTCTTCAGGGGGATCTTAATCACTTCATGATAGTTTACAAAAATAGCCTAATGGTAAAGAATTACATGTATTGACATGTGTAAGTTCTCCCTCTGTCTCTTCTTAGACTTGGTTTCCTAGATTGAATGGCCTGTGAGGTGAGACTGCTGTGTTGTATTGTGCACTTGAATCACCCTCAGACTTCTCTGCCTTCCATTCACCTCCTCTGAAGCCATTGCTTGTCCCCATACTCTGCCAGAGGTGAAACCATTCAGTGGCCGTCTCTCCTAGAGCTCCTTCTTATGGCTATGGAAAAATCAGCTTTTAAATGATCAAAAGGCGATTAGCACTCAGAAAAGAGTGTTAGTTTCTCCAGTGATTTCCCTAAAAGTTGCCAGCATTTCTTGCCCTCTAGGCAGACCTAGGGCAGATACATTGACTTCCCCGTTCCTGGTCGTTCCTGGTCGTGCAGCAGGTGAACTACAGCTCTGCACTGTGTGACCCCAGAGCCTGTACCCTCCCCCCGTGTCCTGCCCACGCAGTAGCTCTACGTTGATTCACAAAACATTTTGTCTTGTTACTCCTTTAGGAAGATGCAATCACACCCAACGATAAGACCCTTTTCCCTGATGTTGATTGGTTAATCGGTAACCATTCTGATGAACTCACACCATGGATACCTGTCATTGCAGCCAGGTGAGAAGTAGAGGAGTTACCAGGTGAATGACTGGGGAATGCTTGTCCAAAAGGGTAGCCACTAGCTGCATGCGGTTGTCAAGCACTTGAAATGTGGGTATTTCCAATTTTTGAAATGTTTGCATATCACCTATATTGGGTTAAATTTAAAATAAATTCCACCTGTTTTATTTTACCTTTTAAAATATGACTACTGGAAAATACAAAATTTCTGAGATTATTCACATTATATCTCTACTGGCCAGCACTGATTGGCACTGTGATTATTCTACAGTATTTATATCCGGTGCCAAAAGAGGTGTCCTTTTTGGAAGTTGTCTTCTGAAAACATGAGGGTTTGTCTTTAAAGGGGAAGTCTACCCATCGGTGGAGCCTCTGCAGCCACAGTTGCCTCTGCACGGGGAGCTGCGTGCGTCACAGGCAGCTGGTCCTGTGTCCGAGAGACTTGGTCACAAAGCAGGTTGTGCTGCTGCTCGTTGACGTTTTGTTGCTGAGTCTCCTTATCTCAGGTTCTTCTGAGCTGTTTTCATTCTCAAGGAGTAACTAGGTTAAAGATAGGTCTTCACTCGGGCTTGGTTGTGCTTCCCTGTAACAGTTCCTATTCAAAGCTGACATCTTAAAGTACTTCAGGAAGTTGTAGATGACACTTGATAATAGTAACTGAAAAAAAAGTCATTTTTTATAAAAGTCATTAGATTCATATTTTATTGAAAAGATATATTGTGTTGCCTTATTTCTAGAAATTAAGTTAGGGAAGGCTGTAATTCATCTTTTTTTTTTTTTTTTTTTTTTTGAGAGGAGTCTCGCTTTGTTGCCCAGGCTGGAGTGCAGTGGCGCAATCTCGGCTCACTGCAAGCTTCACCTCCCAGGTTCACACCCTTCTCCTGCCTCAGCCTCCCGAGTAGCTGGGACTACAGGCACCTGCCACCACGCCCGGCTAATTTTTTGTATTTTTAGTAGAGACGGGGTTTCACAGTGTTAGCCAGGATGGTCTTGATCTCCTGACATTGTCATCTGCCCGCCTCAGCCTCCCAAAGTGCTGGGATTACAGGCGTGAGCCACCGTGCCCGGCCTAATTCATCTTTTAATGTGAAAAACAATATGACACAGCCATAAAGAAAAGGAAATCATGTCCTTTGCAGCAACATGGGTGCAGCTGGAGGCCATTATCCTCAGCAAACTATTGCAGAAACCAAAAACCAAATGCCGCATGTTCTCACTTGTAAGTGGGGCTAAACATTGAGTACACAGGGACATCAAGATGGCAGCAACAGACGCTGGGGACTACTGGGGTGGGGAGTGAGGGAGAGGGCAAAGGTTGAAAAACCACCTGGTGGTTACTATGCTCACTACTTGGGTCATGGGATCTGCCTTACCCTAAACCTCAGCATCTTGCAGTACCCTCATGCCACAAAACCTGCACACATACCCCCTGAAGCTGAAATAAAAGTGGACATTGTATATATAAAAAAAGAAACAGTATTGGCCAGGAACATCACTTCCCTATTTTGCCCTGCTACGTGATTGCCGTGTGGCTTTGCCCCGAATTTCCTTGACTGTGTCTGCTCTGGATGCTTGACGCTCTGGTTGTCGGTTCTTTTTGAAGGTCTTCCTACAAGTGCCGCTTCTTTGTCCTCCCCTGCTGCTTCTTTGACTTCATTGGAAAATACTCCCGGAGGCAGAGTAAGAAGACTCAGTACCGGGAATACCTTGACTTCATTAAAGAAGTGGGCTTCACCTGTGGGTTTCACGTGGACGAAGACTGCCTCAGGATTCCTTCAACCAAAAGAGTACGTGGTGATTCTCATTGTTGTTCTTGGCGGTGTGTCGGTGTTTGGATGGAGAGCTCAGGACTCTGTCACAGAGCCATGAACCCTGCTGTAATGTTCAGAATGTTCCAGAACATGCTGGTGCTGATTTCTGTGCCTCTGTCACTGACGAGGCCCAGAGGCTTGTTCTGTCTCATGGTACCCGCCTTAAAGGCACCGCGGTGCTCCCTCCTCCAGGCCCGCAGGCGCCCTCGCCAAGCCCTCCTTGCCTCTCCAGAAGCTCTGAGTGGCCCCAGGGGACCTGCCCAGAGGAGGCCTCAGTGTGGCCTGTGGCTGAACTCCCTGTGGAAAGTTCCTGCTCCTTCAAGTCGCAAATAATTGGCTGCGATTGAAGTGTGTTTCAGAAGTTCACAGTGATTTCCCATTTTCTCATTAAAGGCCTGGTTCATTCAGATTCACCTGAAATGTCATTTGGGCAGAAGTTGCCCGGGGACTTTCTGTGAGCAGTGTGACTGTGCCTCTGAACCTTGTATGGACAGGGCAGACTTAGGCCCTCTTGCTGCTCCAAGGGCTTGACCTTTCTAAAGAACTATGGAAGTGTTTACAGCCGCTCACCTCAGTCTCTGGTGACTTTATTTGACAACACTCTGTGGCTGGCAGACAGTGTGCTTTTAAAAAATAACCCCGTCATGTCCAGGCCACAGAGTTTGATGGCTGCCTTAGCAAGAAAGGGCCCGGCTGATCTGAGCGAAACCTCAGCTCTGCTGCTGCTGGTGGTTCACTCCAACTGATCGCGGAGCTCCACAAGCCTGTCCGCTTCTGTGAGACCAGGAGGCTGCCTGGTGCTTTGTGGAGGCTTAACAGGATGATGTCTTCAGAGCCCACGGCAGGGAGGGCATGTCGTGGGCACTCGCTGGCCGGCTGCAGTCATAGCCGTGCGCCAGGAGCAGCGTTGGCTGGTGGCAAGGCCTCAGGGCTGCTGGCGCTGTCACTGCCCTGCTACCATGGGAAGTTACCTTAGGACTTGCTGCTGAACCGTCCCGTCATCCTCTCAGTGTCCTCCATTTTGGCAGGTCTTGGTCTTCTGAGGTCAGAACTGATTTGGGGAAACTGCTAAGGTTTGGGTGCTCTAGGCAGGTCCGAGGAGCCTGTGGCTTTGTTTTTTGGACTGGCTGTCCCATTACTAATTGGTAGAGACCATGGACTGTCGCTTCATCTCTCTGAGCTTCAGTTTTCTTATCACTGGCAGGTTTGGGGATGGAATGTGAGAGTGGATGTGAATGTGCTTTGTCATTTTTAAAGCAGTTCACACACAGCACATGTCTGGTGGGGCCTGGGTGTGTGACAGGCACTGAGAATTTAAAATCCCGCTGGAAGAGCTGGGGAGCAGAGGCGTGGCTGTCACGTAGCGAGGAGGTCGGCTTTCTTATCACCTGCGCCTGGCCTTGTAGTTGATGCCTGGAGAGGAAGCCCAGAAATAAGGCGCCCTTGCCATCGTTGGCTGGGCCTGCTTGTCTGGAGGGGACTGTCTGAAGGGCATCCTCCATTGGGTGTGCCACGAAGGAAGGTGAGCATGTGTGGAGCACCTCTGTGGCTCCAGGCCCTCTGCTTAGCCCCCATGTGCACTTGCTGGCTCTGGCAAGGTGGGGACAAAGCTACCTCCCTTCCCAGCCCCTGGGACACTCTGCAGTGTTACCATCAGCATGTGCCCCCCCTCCCCGGGTGGCCAAGGGGTGGAGTGAGGGGCGGCAGCAGGAAAGCTTTAGGACAGTGCAGCTGCCAGGCCCGGGAGTGTGGATTCTGAGTTTGGGTGCCTTTGTTAGGTCTTGTGAAGCTCCAAGTGATGAGAGGGAACCATGGGCTCTTACTGGTTTTTTTTTTTTTTTTTTAATTTTTAAGTAACTTATATTGGTGTCAGCTTTTATTTTTTATTTATATTTATTTATTTTGAGATGGAGTTTTTTTTGCTCTTGTCACCCGGGTTGGAGTGCATTGGCACAATCTTGGCTCACTGCCTCTGCCTCCTGGGTTCAAGTGATTCTCCTGCCACAACCTCCTGAGTAGCTGGGAATACAGATGTGTGCCGCCATGCCCGGCTAATTTTTGTATTTGTAGTAGAGACAGGATTTCGCCATGTTGGCCAGGCTGGTCTCAAACTCCTGACTTCAAGTGATCTGCCCACCTTGGGCTCCCAAAGTGCTGGGATTCCAGGTGTGAGATACCGTACCCGACTGGTGTCAGTTTTTAAATCAGGATTTTTTCATGATAGATGTTTAAAACTTGTGATTTGTACTCCAGGATGAGAGAATTCCATGGAGAATGTTGAAATAGACAAGCCAGCTAAAATACTTGCTTTGCTCTTTTCAAACGCAGGTCTGTCTCATTGGGAGATCCAGAACATACCCTCCCTCCAGAGAAGCTTCTGTGGATGAAAAGAGGACTCAGTACATTAAGAGCAGGCGGGGCTGCCCTGTAAGCCCAACTGGACGGGAGCTTTGCCCTTCTCCACTCCGGGTTGCTCCCGGCAGTGCTGGTCACTGTGACGGTCACCAGGCTCTGGACGCCAGGGTCGGGTGTGTAGCCGGGGCCTGGGCCGCTGAGCGTGGAGCAGGGCCCCAGGCCGAAGGAGCCTGGCTACCTGGATTTCATCCCAGGGAAAAGGCTGAGCGCGTGAGGAACTGTGCCGCCCTGCCGCGAGGTTTTATCGACCAAGTGGTTTTGCAAGTGGCGAACTTATTGTTAGGCGGAAAGCAATTAAACACAGGAAGTTCTCGAAATGGGAGTTTGAAGACCTGGAATGGGGGAGGTAAGCTGTCCACCACCTCAGGGGCTAGCATGCTCCCAGGCTTGAGGGCAGGAATTCACGTCTTCATAACCAGCATAAAATGGTGTGGCCCTGTGACTACACACACTGAAAAAGCCATTGATGGTGGGTGAATAGGCTCTCTTCAAGCAAATTCTTTAAAATTTTCCCAATAGTTCCTATAAACATAAAGGACTTTGTTATTTCCAGAGAGGAAGGCCGAGGCCAGGCCAGGGAGTGACAGAGTTTGGACCCTTAATTAACTTTTACAAAACAGGTTTAGGGGCTAGAACTACTTGTTTTCCATCCAGAAATTATCCAAAGAGAAAACAGGTTACTGAGGCAAGAAAAAGGCACTGTCCCCTTGAGTATGCGGTAAGATTTGGAGCTGTTGTGATTCGATAATTTAATTCTCTTTGAAATCCCCGAAACACAAAAGTCAGCCATGGCAAAAGGAGAAAATTACATCGATTGTTCTCATGGGGTGAGTGGTGTGCTGAAATTATGTTCTCATGGGGTGAGTGGTGCGTTGAAATTAATGGCATTCAGAGAGCCAGCCGGGGCTGTAAGGACCTCGCCTCCTTCCAGGCAGGGATGCTGCTTGGCCGCCAGAGGGTGGTGTGGAGCTGCAGCCAGAGCCTGGCTTCTTGCAGTTTTGGGAACTGGAGAAGAGCATGGAGCCCCATCCCCTCCTGGCCCCTCGGTCAGTGACTCCTGCCTGGCTGCCCGTTTGAGGGAAACCCTTCCTCTCCAGGCCTCGCTTTCCTCACCTGTGAATGTTGGGACAAAATCATGCCCGTTTCCTTCTTCATCCTTTGTCCTCTTGCACCATGTGTACATGGAATGGGGCTGGGCCATTGAGCACAGACGGCCCCTCCAGAAATCATTCGAACCTGATGGTAGCTGGTCAGCAGAGCCTCTAGCCATCTGGCGAGAATGGCCCTGGCTCAGTGGCTGATGGGGCCGACTAGCTGCTTGTAAATCACCAGGCACCGTGGGGTCTCTGGGTTGGCGCCTCTGACTAAAGGCACCCTGCTGTGGTGGGGCTGGAGCACAGAGGAGGAAGGCTGAGGCTGGCAGAGCATGGAGCCCAGCAGAGGCAGCTGGGCCCCAGAGCCCCAGGGACATCAGTGTGGTCTGAAAGTTCCCATGTGCAGTAAGCAGTGACAGTTCTTGAGTGCAGTTTGACCTTTAAATTACCAGGAGATGACGGGTGCACAGATGTCAGCTGTGCCTGGGATGGACAGCTTTTGGTGGGTGAGGAGGAAGGAGGAACAGACCTGGAGATGGAGAGCAGGGGTGGCTGAGTGGTGGGCTCAGTCCTGCCTGCCCCTTGGAACCTGGGAACCAGGGCGCCTAACAAGCCCCGTACCCCCATCCCCTCCAGATTGGTGTCCGTGGGTCTGGGGCTTGTTAGGGGCTCTCCATGTGGCCATGCTGTGAGAAGGGAGGAGCTGTGCCCTTGGCCTCTCAGCCTACCGCCTCCCTCCTGCCCACAGGCAGCCTTCAGGGCCTTTGGTCTCACCCCCACCCAGCGTGTCCTCAGACAGGCCCATCTGTGTTTCTGTGCCTGTGGGCCATGTGTGGCTCTGGCTCCAAGACCTCACCCATCCTAGCTCCACGTCTGCCCCTGTGGGACATTGCTGAGAAACAAGGTGGGAAGGGGCCCTGCCCTCAAGAGGCTCCAAGTCCTGCCTTGCTAGGAGTCAAGGCCCCACACGTCAAAGGATGAGTAACCAAGAGGCTGGATGTGCCAGGCCCAGAGGCACCCACGGCTGCAAGTGTGAGATTCCCCGTTATGGAGTCCGTGCCGGGCCAGAGGCGGGGGCACAGGGAAGGCTGACTGGGTCATCTTTTTTAAAACACTCCCACTCCTCTCAGAATGGATTTGAGACAGACGAGAGGTTGACTCAGACGACTGGCCGGGCTGGGATAGGAAGGACTCTCGCAGCAGCTGCAACAGCGGCTGCCCGCACCGGGGTCCTGGGTCAGCATTGTGGTGCCCTGATCTGTGGGGGTCCCACAGGCTCAGCTGCACGCAGGCAGGCACCGTCTCCTCCACTCTCCTGCAGCTTGGAGGGTGCAGATAAGACGTGAAGTGCAGCACCTGGCAGGTAGGAAGTTCCTGGCAAATACACATAGGAAAACCAGCTTTCATTCATATCCAATTTGATGTTTTGGTAATAAATGACTTTATTGTCGCCAGGTTTTCTGATTAGAGCATTTTGAAATACATGCAGGCTCTCAAAGCAGAAATTCGAACGGGAAAGAGACCATCACTGTGGTGTCTGTGCTGTTGCTTTTTTTTAACACCTAGTGTGGCCTTGCTGGCCACCCTGGAGCCGGTAGCACCAGGCCTGCTGCCGCGTGGTTGGAGCAGCCACTGGGTAGGCTCAGGCCCCAGGCCTGCCAGCTCGGCCTTCCTTCTTTAGTCTGAGAAACCCTGCCTCCAAACAACCACCCCCTTCATGGGTCACCAGCGAGAAGAGCTTGAGGTGACCACCCACAGCAGGCAGCATCACCTGATACCTGGCCCTGTGCAGGCAGGAGGCATGTGTGGGGCTGCGCCTCGTCAGGCTGCGCCACCTCAGCTGGGTGGGGACACCGCGGCCCTCACGGTTTGGCTGCGGTGTGGCGTGGGTTGGTTGAGATGGAATCATGGTCCTTCGTGCTGGAGTGCATAAGGCGTGAGTGTACGGAACTGAAATGGACCGTTTCTGCCTGTGTGACAGGTTTGTAATATTTTGTTGTGGTTTTAGGGAAAAAAAACAAACCATTTTTCCACAGAGAGCCTATCTCTGGCAGAAGTAGCCAGTGAACTGGATACGGAGACCCTGCGGAGGCTGAAGCGGGAGTGTGGGGGCCTGCAGACGCTGCTCCGGAACAGCCACCAGGTGTTCCGAGGTATGGGGTCTGCCCCTTCATCGCTTTTCTCTTTCCTTCCCTTTCCCCCTTTTTTCTGTTAAATAACGTTTTATTTTAGAGTGGTTTAGACTCTCGCAGAAGAATCTGGCAGAAGCACCAAGTTCCATGGCGCTCCACCCAGCTCTGACGCGGGTAGCATTTGACCTCGGGGTGGGACGTGGGTTACCCTGTTCCCTCCTGGCTCCTCTGGACCTTGTCCCATGCGATGTCCCCAGGCCGGTCTCCCTTCCCCTATGCTGTGCTTGCTGACACCTCAGCTCCACTTGCTCCACACAGGACAGAGCAAGTCGGGCAGCCGCTGGCCGGGCCCCTCTTGGCTGGGGGTCCTTGTTTGGCTTCGTCTTTAGCTGCTGCAAACTGGAAGCATCCAGAGCCACAGAGCCAGGCTGGGGAGTGGGAGGAGTGAGCCCCTCCCCACAGGCGGTGGCCTGGACTCCTGCGGCCCTCGCTCCGCGGGCCTGGGCACGGGGAGGTCCTGGTACCCAGCTCCACTGCTGGGCAACGCCCTGTGACTCCAGGACTGCCAGGGCATGGGGAGGCAGGAGGGCCCTCCACCCGCTTGTCCATTCACTCAGCCCACAAAGCAGGGCAGACACATCCCTGGCCTGCTGGAGCTGGCAGTGCAGTGAGGGAGAGGGAGATGTAGCAGGTGTTCCCCCAGGGGCTGGCGGTGTACACAGTTCCATCATCTGCAGCTTCCAGGTGTGCACAGAGGGGGCAGGGACCGGGGGAGCCACAGTTTACCAGCACCGGCAGCTGGGGCATTTGCCGTAACTTGCTTCGTGGAGCTTTTTTTCCCCTCTTTCTGTAAGTATTTTAAAGTGAATTCCGGCTAGCACCCTATTTCACCCCTAAGTACTTCCACATGCATCTTTAAAAGTACTAGGTGTCTTGTGTCACCACCATGCCCTAAGCACACATTTCTGTGAGTCGCGATGTGCAGGGAGAACTGGCCTGGCCCAGAGTGGGCTTAGGAGGGCTTTACTTAGGAAATGACACTTGAGCTGGGCCTGGAAGGAAAAGAGGAGTCAGGAACGGAGAACAGCTTTTAGGCAGAGCGAACAGCATTTGTGAAGAGCCAGGGTTGGGAGGAACAAGAGTGGGAGCTGGCGGGGCTATAGCCGCTGTGACCAGGAGAAGGACTGGGCCTCTGACGGATGGGTAGGGATGACACCGAAGTCACAATGGGAAGGAGTGGCCCGGTTCACACCCTAGCTTCTGGGTCCCCTGTCCATGAGGCTGCCATGGGGGTCAGGTGCAGTGCGGTATCTGGCTCTGTGCATGTGTGAGAGAGCACAGGTGTGCGTGCCATGCCTATTGTGTACACAGCGCAAGCGTGTGGGTTTGTGCACACACACACTGTCTTTGGGTGCCCGCCTGCTCTTGGAGAGCTGAACTTGGCTTTCAGCTGAACTGGCTTCTTTAGGTGACAGTTGCTATTGGGTGGGGGGCCCATGAGCATGGTTGGAGCCTCTGTTTCCTGGGACAGGTGCGGAAGCATGTCCCTGAGGCTGCCTCCAGAGTAGACACTGGGCCTGCAGTGGTGGCTGGGCTGGGCCTGCTGCCTGGAGTCTGTTCTTCCTTGCACAGAGCTTCAGGCAGTTAGAATATTTCCTGCCTCCACGGGGCCTCTTTCTGTCTTTCCCAACGCTTGTTTCTGTTGATTTCCTGAAATACTGTCTTTTCACCCACGTGGGTGAGTCTGCCTGTGTGTCAGTGTTTTTCTGTGCAGGTCACCCTGCGGGGCAGACGTGTTTTTGGAAACACTTCTGAGTAGGAGGCCTGGGGGTTGGGTTCCAAATAAACATTCTCCTCCAGTCATGAGAAAACTATGCTCTGAAGCTGGGTCTTATCTCTGTATGAGGTTTAGGTTTTGTTTTAAGCTAACGTGGCTAGTCTCAGAAAATATTTACGAGAGTGAGGAATTGGAAATGTTTCCAGATGGTTTCAGGTCAGCCAGCCTGAGCATGACCTGTGAGGGCCACGAGGGCCAGCCCTGCCTCTGTCCCCGCCCCTTCCTGAGGCCACCAAGGGGTGGCTCCATGCTGGCTGGTATGGAACCTGGCACCGTGCTGCTGGGTACACGCGGGGCCTCATCGTATCCTGCACTCGGGGCAGAGCAGGCCTTTCCTCCTTGAACACGCAGACACGACTCGGAGAGGTCAGTGCGCCGGCCCGAAGTCTCCCAGTGAGTGGAGAGGCCGTGCCACAGTCCAGGCCAGGTCTGACCCAGCACTGGCATCCCTGAGCCTGCGGCATCATCCAGGGACTCTAATCCTTAGCCCGTTCCTCAGAGCAGCTTGGTGAGAAGGAGTGTCTGCTCTCAGAAGCAGTGGCGGAGGTGGCGGTTCCTGTGCGGAGTGACAGTCCCAGGGGACGCGCACAGTAGGGAGGGAGGAGGCGGCAGAAACTTGGGTCGAGCAGACTGTGGCCCTGTGGTTCCATTTCAAAATGAGGAGCACATTTCCAGAGGAGGAGTCTTTCTAGCTGTTGGTTGTCTTTCTAGCTGGCTGGAGCAAGTCCCCCTGGAAGGCCGCCCCTTCTGGCACCTGGCCACATAGTGGCTCAGGTGTTGTGGGGGGGCTGGGAGCTACCTGCCATGTCCAGGGTTGTAGACACGGGGAGTGGGTCAGCGAGGCTGGGCCAGCCTGAAGCCTGCCTGTGCCATCCTGGGAGCCTCATCTCTATCATGAGCGCCCGCTCCTCAGTCCTTAGACACCCTGCAGGTCCTGCTTCCAAAACATGGCTGGGTGTGCTCTTAACTCCAGAGCTGCCCGGGAGGGCCTGCTGCCAGTTGGCCTGTCACGTTGCGGCAGGGAAGGGGGTACCCAGGCTGGCTCTGAGGGTGGGAATCTGCGCTCAGCCTTTGGCCTCAGTGATCCCCACCCCTTTCTCTTGACAGGTCAGGGCGTCAGGCCAGAGGCCCCTCAGTGTTTGGGGTCATGTGCCCCATGGGGAGTTGGAGGGAAGTTCTGGCCCCTGGGGCTCCTCCTGAGCACCCTTCAGAGGGTTCCAGCTCCCTCAGTGGCCGGGATGTGCCCTTCTGTGCCGCGCCAGGAGGTGCTGCTGTGGGGACATCGGCAGAGCGTCGTGGGACTGCCTTAACCGTAGCCTTCAGGTTAAGCAACCTCAGCTCCCATGTTGGAAGGCGAGACAGAGAGGCGGCCGTGGGAGGGCAAACGGGGTCAGGCCTGGCCTTGGCGGTGCTTCCAGCCAGGCTGTGAGGGTGAGCCCCCAACTGTGTCCCTGGACGCAGCGAGGCGCCGCTCTCTGGGCTCATTTCTCTGGTTTCAGGGGGGAAACTATTTTTAAAGTATCAGTCTGTCAAAAGCACACAGGCTTGTTATTGCCACACAGAAGGTGATTTGAAAGCAGAATTCAAGCTTTAATTCCTACACTTTCAAGTTCTCCTTGGAAGTCGGTGCGCCAGACTTCCTCACTGAGGCTCCTTTATTTCCCGAGCCCTCTGTCGCGAGCGCTGTCCCAGCTTCCAGGGAGAGCCAGGAAGGAGCTGGCTGCTTTGGCCACGTTTCACAGGGAGTTGTTGGCTTCCCACAAGGAAACGGCCAAATGGGAGTGTAGGGGGTATCTTGGCCCAATTTGGAGGGCAGGGTCAGGAGGCAGCCTGGAGGAGGCCTGCGAGGCCTGGCACCCAGGTGATGAGCAGGCCCACAGCAGCCCTCTCCTGGTCCCACCCCACTCTGATGTCCCTCCAACTCCCCAGTTTGGAGATCAGCCCTGGCCATTGAGTCCCAGTGGCACTTCCAGAGTGGGTATCTAAACCACTGCGCAGAGGCGGGTACCCCTTCCTGTTCCTTTCCAGAGCCCCTTGGCCTCCCTTACTCCACACTTGCACCTGGAGGGGCTCCGGTTGGGAGGTGCATGTAAACCCAGTGCACCAGGACAGCACCAAGGAGCAGAGGCCGCCCTGCAGCAGCCCCGCCCTTAGACTATGTGGAGGGACCGGCGCCTTGCCCCTTTCTGCCTGTGATGCTGACAGTCCTCAGAGGTTAGGGCTGCAGTACAGATGTTTTCTCGTGTTCTGGCTCTCACACTGTGTTCCATCCTTCCTTCACTCAAGTGATCCTTCTAAAATGGTGGCTTTGCAGGACCTGCCACTCAGCCAGAGGGAAGGTCGGGGCCTCAACGATGAGGCCACTTGGGACCCAGCTCTGTCCTCTGCCCTCCCCTCTGGCTGTCCCTGAAACGCAGCCTGTCCTGGTGCAGTCTGTCCTGGGACACTCAGGTTTGCTGCTTCTCTGCCTAAAATGCTCTTCCTGGGCCCGCGCGGGGCTGCCGCTCGCCTCCCGCAGGGCTCACCTTCCCCATCCTTGCCTGAAGACACATCCCATACCTCAGTCACTCCCACTGGAGGCAGGCTCTCAGTGACCAGCAGGAACTCTGGGCTGTGTCACGGTTGTATCCCTGACCCTGGATTGGCACCTCCCATGGCGTGGAGCTAAGCAGAGGCTGGTGAATTAAGGAACTTTCAGGTTTACTTCTCAGTGTGTCTTTTCTCTGTTCCAAACCACAGTTGTGAATGGGAGAGTTCACATCCGCGACTGGAGAGAGGAGACGCTGTGGGAAACAAAGCAACCGGAAGTGAAACAGAGAGTGCTCTCCGAAGCCTGCAAAACCCGCCTCTGCTGGTTCTTCATGCATCACCCTGACGGCTGTGCTCTGTCCGCAGACTGCTGCCCATTTGCCCATGGGCCTGCGGAGCTGCGGCCATCCCGGACCACCCCGAGGAAGAAGATTCCATGAGCTGTGTCCTTGCCAGCCAAGTCCTGGTCGGTGGGGGCCAAACCAAGGAGAGCTTCCCTGGCAATCCTCAGTGTTGCGGTCTCTGCTCTGGCTGTGTTTCAGCCCACCTCCTCCCAGCTTTCTCTAGATCCTCACGCCGATGAACCGTGTTTCATAAACATCACCCGCCAGAGAAGCCACAGTTACTCAGAAGCCCCCAGCTGGGTGCCTGGCTTGTTTCAGATGCAGCCACTTGAAATGTGCACAGCATCTTCATATCACAAAGATTGTGCATGGATCCTTACAGTGTCTCCTGGGGGAGCGCAGCCGGGGATGCCTTGCACAGGCCCCTCCCAGGGCGCGGTCCGACGCCTGCCCCACCATGTCCATCTCTGTGAAGAGGATGGGGCTCCCCAGGAAGCAAGACCGTATCTGCCAGCGTTTCTCACCACACTGGAGAGCAGCCGCTCTGGAGCAGGGGTCCACCAGACTGGTATTTTTAAAAAAGGTATAAGGCTTGCTCTGTTGAGGTTGTTTTTACAGTTACAGAGAATAAAACAAAACACCCATAATTTCCTCACATGGGCCACTCAAGTGGCATGAAAAAAAAAATCATAGGTGAATTGTTGACAGGGCTTTAAAACTGTAAATATCACAGACGACAGAAAGGTAAGACCTACACCTTCCTCCCTCCTCCACGAGACCCTCTCCCCAGAAATACTGCGGTAGTTCTTTTTAGTCCTTCTAGAAAAAAAAATCCTGATTCATTTCTCTTTTATTTTATTGAGAGATGGGGTCTTGATCTCTCGCCCAGGCTGGAGTGCAGTGGCACGATCATAGCTCACTGCAGCTTTGAACTCCCGGGCTCCAGCCATCCTTCTGCCTCAGCCTGTCAAGTGGCTGGTACTGTAGATGCACACCACCATGCCTGGCCAACTTTTAAAATGTTAGAGGCGGGGGTCTTGCTGTGTTGCCCAGGCTGGCCTTGAACTCCTGGACTCAAGCAGTCCTCCCACCTCAGCCTCCCAAAGTGCTGGCTGGCATGACAACTGCGAGCCATGGCATCTGGCCCCGATGTTTCTATTTAAAGTTATTTCTATGGTTTTATACAAAAGGTCACATGCAGTCCACACTGTTCTGCCATTGACTTTCTGCAGTGTACCCTGGTGCCTCTCCACTGGGTGTATCCACCTGGTTATTCACGGCCACCGTGCGGCATTCCATGGCAGCGCCGCACTCATCACTCCTGAGCAGTGAGAATAAATGAGCATCTGCTCTGAAGGCACCTCAGCTCTGCAGCACCACAGGGCAGTGCTGCCACGGACCCAGACCCTGCCCTCTGAGTTCCGAGTCAGTCCCAGAGCCCAGAGCCCAGGCTGAGGATGTGCCAGCAGGTACCTGGCCCTGGAAGCGTCCACCCTTCGTCTTACTGGGAGACTGGCGCTCCATGGCCCCTTGGGGCAGGCCCCAGTTGGTCGAGCCGCTGCAGCTCTGGCTAGTGAGGCACAAGGGAGCTCTGCTGGGGCCTCTGGGGTCTCCACACTGGGAAGTTCTCCCTGCAAGGGACACCTAATGTAGAAGCCCCGAGGTAGCAACCAGGAGCCTAGCACTGAGGGTGGTGGAGCAGGAAGATGGAAAGAACTCTCTTCCCAAAGATGAGCCACAGAGCCGCACCCTCCCTCAGCCGCTGTGTTAGGCCCTGAGGCATCTTCCTGCCAAGCTGCACCAGGGTTTGCGGGTTTTGTTGCTCAGCATATCCAGGGTCACGTACTTCAGGACAAGTGACCTGATGCCCCTCGGCCTCCCAGCCCTGCAGTCTCGCTGGAGCTCTCCCTGCAGCAGGAAGGGCTGAGCCCAACCACAGAGGGGCTTAGGGCGACATCAAGGGATGGCAGAGCAGGGAGTGCAGGGAGCCCGGCCCAGAGGAGCAGCCCTGCCACCGCCTTCTGGAAGGGGCACACCTCCTGAGCTAAGCCCAGGACGCCACCCAAGCCTCGGGGCCTCCCAAGGTGTTCCCCAGGCCACAGTGCATCGCCTCTGCCAGGCCCAGGATAGCTCCAGGTTGCTGGGCCCCTGTCTCCTCTCCCCTTCCCAGGTCTTTCCCAAGCCCAGAGCCCCTGCTTTAATTTTCCAGTGTGGGGAGACAGGAAGTGGCCACAGAGCCTGGTTCTGCGCTCGGTGCGGCTGGACTCCCAACCTGGCTCCGGTGCTGTAGTCCTGGCGAGGGTGGTGGCCCTGGGGAAGACGAGCTCCCCCAACACTTGGCACAGCAGTTTCCAGTCATGAGCTGCAAGGACACCGTCTCAAAGGAGCATCAGATGGGGCTGGGGGCATGTGGGGTGGCCCTAGCTCTCCCAGATGGGGTCCTGCCAGGCCAAGAGCTGTGCTAAGTAGGGCCCACCATGGCCATAGGCCCCTCTGTGTCACCTGGCATAATCAGCTGGTAGAAACGGCCCTTGGTGACCACATCACCTGACCTGACTTCCAGGTTCTAGGTGCCGTTTCTTACTACCCCCCGGCACCACGGTGCCCCTGTCCACACGTCATGTGACTGGGGGTCCGCTAGGTTACCTTGCGGCAATGAACGATGCATCTGTGGATGAAGGTGGGCAGATAGAGGTTTGGCGGGGGATGGGGTGGGGCACTGATCATGGCAGCCTGGCTGTGGCCAGCCCCAAGGGCTTCCCAGTGACTTCTCAGAGCCTGAGTGGGTCTCCCCTGGACAGGTGGGATTGAGGGAATGCCACAAAGGTGGGCATGAGGGGGAATCTCGCCAGGAGTACAGCGCGTCTACACTGCTTTCCAGACTAGTGCCAGGCAGGCCCTAGGTCTCACTGGCTGAGAGGCAGCCTCTGTCCCCCGGCGCCCCGACTTGCCCCATCTGCTGCAGAGGAGACCCACCTGTGGTGAGCATTGTGGTCTTGGGGCCTGCAGGCGCCCTAGTGGAGTTACCATGGTGACCGCAGCCCCTTGGACTGGTGCTGGGGATTCAGACACCAGGTCGCACAGGCCTTGGCTCATGGCATGGCCAAGCTCTGGGGTCTGTCGGGGTTGGCAGGGCAAGCTTCCTGGAGGAGGGGCTGAGGCCGCGTATTTTCCCTCTCATCTTGCCGTCCGCTGGGGCGACTCTCCAGGGCCACAACTGTCACAGAACGAGGAACCCGGGCCTCGTGCAGAAGAGCCTTGTGTGGGTGAGAGTCCCAGGGAAGAGGCCGAGCCCTCTGCTGACTTGCCCCAGCTCATTTCTGCCTGACCCTTCCTTGTTGCTGGTTTTGCTCAGAAAACTGTATTGTGGACCTGATCGTTCTGGGAAAAGGTGGTTCATGAGAAAGCACAGTCATGTGTCACTTAACAGTGCAGATGCCCCCTGAGAAATGCGTTGTTAGGTGATTTCATCATCCTGCAACATGAGAGTGCCCCGCGCTGCCAGATGAGACAGGCTGCCCCACACCCAGGCTGTGGGGGACGGCCTCCTGCTCTCGGAACACACGCCTACACGGCTCATTAGCTGTGCCGAATGCCGTACGGTTGTAACGCGATGGTAAGTGTCTGTGTAGCTAAACGTAGAAAAGGTACAGTGAAAATATGATGTAAAAGAGAAAACATGCTTCAGCTGTGGAGGGCACTCACCCTGACTGGGGCCTGTGGACAAGGCTGTGGGTGTCCGTGAGGGAGGGGGGTGCCTCTGAGGCCCTGCTGCAGGCTGGATGAACAGCACGCTTAGGCCACCCTCAGTTTATACTAAAAAATCCCTTCAATAACACATTCACCTGAGCTTATTTCTAACTTTTTAATTTTATGAACTTTAAAAACATTTTTTACTCTTTTGTAATAACACTTAGCTTAAAACACACATTGTACAGCTGTATAAAAATATTTTTCCTTTTTCTTTTTTTTGAGGCGGGGTCTTGTTGTGTCACCCAGGTTAGAGTGTAGTGGCGCCATCTCGGCTCACTACAGTGAGCCTCAGCCTCCTGGGCTTAACTGATCTCCTGCCTCAGCCCAAGTAGCTGGGACCACAGGCACACGCCACCATGTTACCCAGACTGGTCTTGAACTCCCAGACTCAAGCAATCCTTCTGTTAGGGGTGGCGAATATCCCAGCTGTCAGTGGTGAGTTTAATGAGTCTGCAGCAGCCTCAGCTCTTGCCTCCTTGGAAGAAAGAATTCATCTGAAGGGCATAAGGCAGAAAAAGGAGACCGAGGCAAGTTTCCGAGTGGGAGTGGAAGTGTATTAAAAAGCTTCAGAGCAGGAAAGAAAAGAAAGTACCCTTGGAAGAGACCCAAGCATGCACTCTGGAGGTCAAGTGCAGCATTTGACCTTTTGACTTGGGGTTTTATATGTTGGCATACTTCTGGGGTCTTGTGTCCCTTTTCCTGTGATGCTTACCTTAGGGTGGGCTGCCTGCATGCACGGTGCCCTCCTTGCACTCGGGATGTGAGCATTCGCAGTGTGTTTGAAAAGTTGTATGTATGTTCACCTGAGGCTGCTTCCCTTTTCCGGTAGGACGCCCCCAGAAAGTCATGCTCTTCCATTTTGTCTCCTAATGCGCATGCTCTAGCCCACTCACCCAATTCCTAAGACTTTACTGGAAGCCGCTGGTGACCAATTTCAAGTAACTTTATCTGTTGGGAAATTGCCTCTCCCTGGCGCGTGCGACCAATGATCATTTTTAGAGAGGAAGAGTGACAACTGCAGGACCATCACCTTGAGGACTAAACTGATTGTTTATCTCGCCCAAATTCCTGTCTAAGGGGTCTGGGGAGTCCTGCCCTGCAAATCATAAATTCTCATCAGATGGGTTTTATTTAACCCTGTATATTATGACTTACTTTCCAACCTGACTCTGGCATAACATTACAAGTCAAGGAAGAAAAATCAAAGTAGTTTACCTCAAAATGTGTTTCTTTGCCATATTTTGAAATGGCCCTACAAAGCTGTTCTGTGTGTGTGTTGGGGGGGCGGAATTTGCACCTGTGAAGAATCTCTGTTAACATAGCTAGATCTTTTTCTTCCAGACCCTCCCAATCCTAAAGAGATTAAAAGTCTAGCACCTTTGAAAGGTCTGAATAGGAAACATTTGTCTTCTATTGTCTCTAAGGGCAGCCACTATAAGACTTCAA